ACACAGCTGAGTTACAAAGACATAAATGCTCATTTTGGGGTCATTTAATTCAAAATCTTTTATCTTTAATGCACATTAATTCATGTGTGTTTGTTAATACATATAAATATGTATTTTATCAAACAAGCTACTTACACAAAATATTGTACTATTATAGTTTGTCAAATATATAGTTTTATATAATTTTGTTCAAAATAGTCCATCTCCGTTTTAAATTTGTTACCACATACACAAAACTACTGAACAATATTTTTGTTACAGTGTATTTATTACACTATCTTTGTTACACTATTACATTATTCAGGTATTAAATTAATTTGAAAATAAAACCATTTTTCAAAAAAAAAAATGCATGAATCAAAGTGTATTAAATATAATTTGAAAACAAAATCACTTTCCCAAAAAAAAAAAATATGCATGATTCAAACGTATTTTTTACACTATTACATTATTTGGATATTAAATTAATTTAAAAATAAAATCATTTTCCAAAAAAAAAAAAATGCATGAATCAAGGTGCATTAAAAGATAATTTAAAATTTAGATAAGAGATTTAACAACAAGTATATACATACAAACATACATAAGTATTTATATAAGTGTGTATATATATATATATATATATGTATATATATATATATATATATGTATATATATATATATATATAACGCATAAATCAATGTGCATTAAAATATAATTTATATACATATACGTTTTTATATATACATTAATACAAATTTTGAAATTCAAACAAGTATATATATATATATAAACGTATAAATATATATTAAAGTTCTCCCATAAAACTACGAGATGTTTAATGCACCATTTTTTCAAATAAAAGTGGTGCATTAAATACACATGGATTAATAGAGGGCAAAAATGTCACAAAAAAATCAATAAAATTTAAATAATGTACTTAGATACAAATAAGTATCAAAATTAAGGACTTAATTACTCAACATTTTTTCTATTTACTTTTTACAATTAAGTCTAATTTGGTGTACCTCTTTATAATTTTTCCAAAACTTAATATATATATATATATATATATATATATATATATTAAACAGTAACACGCTTAACATAAAAATAATAACATTAAACAGTAAAACAATTAACAAAAAAATAATGACAACAAACAGTAACATACTTAACAAAAAAAATAGTAACATCAAAACAGTAACATGCTCAACAAAAAAAATAAAATTTATAAGTGATTTACCAATTGAAGTATTAAAGATTCAATAACAAGTAAGATAACTCAAATATAATTCAATGATTATATATATGAAATTTCAAAATTCAAATGATACAAATTTCAAAACGAATCTTAAAAATTTCACATTCTAATATTTAGATATTGAAAATATAAAAGCTGTCAATTATGTATACACTATTTATAGTAGAAGTAATTAAGGAATACATTTTAAAAAAATTTTAAAAATGTTTTAAAATATGTACTTATTGACAACTATTTGATAAAAAAGAAGACTTAAATGATGATAAGTTTAGACTTAAAGCCAAATAAATTCTAAAAAAGACACTCACATCCCATTATCTCTAATTTTTTCATTTTAATCCTTGCACTTTTTTTATTTAAGACATTCTTGAAAGATCAATTTGGTTGACAAATTTTGTGTTAAGAGTGGCTTTAGATATAAGTAATCACTGGTGTATAATACTAAAAGATTTGACCTTCATACAGTTTCTGGCATTACCAACTCGGGAATTTCAGATTTGTCTATATTTTTGTCCTTTTAACAAGGTGCAACAGCCTAGAAGCCAACCTTTGTTTTTTGAACCAACCCCTTTGCCAAAAACCAAAGCATACATATGCTTCAACACAACTCAAAAGGTTCTGATTTGTCCGAATCAAAGAGTACACCATTTATTTTAGAGCCGAATAAAGTTATTGAGATGTAAAAAATGTGAGAATTTATTTTTAAATTAGTCTAAAACACTTAAAATATTTTAAAATACCTTAAAATATTTTAAAATGATGATAAAAAAATATGTCAAAATACTTTGAAATACTCTAAAATATTGATTTTATCTTGGTCTCCTTAAAAACAAAACCATTTCAACTGTTTTAATTATTTTAAAAAAAGAATTTTGATCCTTAATATAATATTTGTGATTAATTGTAACATTTTATAATGGATTATTAATATTTTTTTATAACATAATAACCTTACAAACTCCCATTTTGACATCATCCACTGTCAGCCTTCCATCATTCTAGAAAAAGTAAAGAAGCATCGACCCAGTCGTCCCTCCCTAAAACACGCGCCACCGTAATCCAGTTGGGCCCCAGTCCAGGTGTGCATCTAAATTGACTGCTTCTTAGTCTCACACCTATTATACCCCATCCACGTGGTCAACCTTATACCCCACCACGCCCTCCGTCTATTCCACGTGGCACGACGAGAGCTCTCCATTCTCTATCCCACTAACCCATGAAGTCTTGTATGATTAAGACTATCAATATGTGGTATCCTGTTGATTATGTTTTGTATCCTATTTAAAATGTGCCGTGACAATAAATTTATTTCAGAGTTTTATATCATATTTTTTATAATTGTAAAATTTTTTATTATATTACATATTAATCGGATATGTTGTGTTTAAATAAATTCGTATAAATCTATTTATTTAACGAGTATAATGAATATACTTATTTATCACTCAACTCAATTAAATTTAAATTCACTAATTGCAAATCAATTTAACGTTACCTTAGCAAATTGTATTTAAAATGACCATTTTTTTACGACATCCCGACATTAACGCAAGGAAGGATAAGGATTTAAAGTTTGATATATGATCTTAGGATTTGATTCTAGAAACAGTTCAATAAAAATGAAGAGATTTCAAACAAAAAGGTCAAAATTAAATAATAAAAAAAGAAGCGAAAAATAAAACAATGTTAATAGTTTAAGGAGGGTTTGGTAACGTTTTCGCTTTTATAATTTTTTTGTAAAAAGAAAAAAAAACTAATTTTTGTTTTGTTTTTGATAAAATTTAAAAATAAAAAACATGTTTGGTTGACATTTATATTTAAAAATAAAAAATATATTTAGTATTATATCAAAAATTTACCACCTAACACCACCACCAACATCTACAACCACCAAACACCCAACCACCTACCACCACCACCAAACTTCCACCACCACCACCCAAAACCCACTTCAGCAACCCCGAAACCCATCACTCAACCCTCTCAAAATCACCATCAATATCATTCCACCACCACCGATACACACACAAATCCATAAACAGCAGTCTTGCAATAACTTCAAAACCCACCAAAAATCACTACCAATACCAGTCTATCACCACCGATACACACACAAACCCAAAATCCATAACAGTAGCCCCGAAAAATTAGCTGTAACAATCCCGAAACCCACCACCCAAAACTACCATCAATACCAGTCCACCACCACTGATATACACACAAAAAGATCTATACACAAACAAAGATGTTGAAATCAACAACAAAATAAAATAGAGGAAGAAAAATCTCTAGATCTGCACAAATAAAATCGCCAATTGAGAAGAAAGTAGAGAGTTTTGTTGTCGGAGAAAGTGAAGAGCTTCGCCGATTTGGATCCCACATACCTGTGAGCTTCGCCACAGTCGCAGACCCATAGGCGTATGCAAAGAGAGAAAGATGAGCTTTGTTTTTGCTTTATATAGGTGCCATAAAAAATATCCTATTTTTTTGCATCTAATGAAAGTTGAAGGCTGGAGCTCATTAAAAACCTCCCCAAGCCCCCGCGTGTTTTTACTTTTCTGTGTTTTCAAAACATTATTTTCCTTGCTTTCAATATTCAAAACGACTTGATTAAAAAACAAAAAATTAAAACACAAAGCAAGCATGTTATTATTTTTAATTTTAACAAAAATTAAAAAACAAAAACTTTGAGTTACCAAATGGCACCCTAATCAATCGGTTGTTTATTGATAGACGAATTGCAATTCTATTTAAATCCATTAATTTTGAATCGACTTCGGTTGGCGTGTCTAAAATTAACAGGGGCCGTACTGATCTAAACCCACCAAACGGTCGGTTTAAACCGTTTGATGAGATTAAATCTAGAAATCAACGGTTAAGATCTAATGACGAAGATTTTGGGGATGTTTTTACTAGGACCGCGTAGGGGTGAAGGCGTGTCCAGTGCGTGGGTGAGGTGAGTTTAAAGGTGACCGAATATTTCACTATTTCACTGCTCGAAAACACTGGATCAGGTACTAATTATTGTGATTACTTTTGAAAGTATTACCGTTTTTAATCCACTTAAATATGAAATTCTCTTTCAACAAATCATATTATGCGGTCCAAATCAAGTCGATATAAATCTCCCCACCTATTAGGTTTTCAGACATCCCCGAGTTCATTACCTTCACCACCATTCCCTCTCTCTGCTGCTACCTTGTTCTCTGTTGGGATTTTCAGGGTTTTTCCAGAAATTGAAGGCCTGAGTTCTTTGGGCTCTTTGTGTTCTAGGGGGTCACTTTGAAAAAAATTGGTCTTTTGTTGGTGCCTCTTCATTTCCAGCAATTCTAAGCTCAATCGGGTTTGTTCTGTTTCTGGGTTTTAGAGGGTGTGATTCCAATTTTCGATTGAAGGGTTTGTTTTTTTGGTAAACAATTGGGAAACCATTCGTGTTCTAGGGTTGTCAGCTGTGCCAAGTTTGCGTTTTTGCCATTGTCTCTTTTATTTTCAAGCATTCTTTGAGTCCAGTTGATTCTCTCTGGGTTTTCCGAAGTTTGATTCCAATTTGTCATTATCTCCTCAATTCCTACAAATTTTGAATCCAATGAGTTTGACCTGTTTGTAACTTTGGGCCTTTCGTTTGTAGCGAATCTTGAATTTTTGTCATCATCTCTCCAAAATTCTTCATTCCCACCAAGTTATTCTGTTTCTGGGTTTTTGGGTTTTGTTCCAATTGCCATTTCAAGAATTTTTCTGAGTTTTTTCATGTAAGAAATGCCAACAACAGATTATCTAGGATCATCAGCATCTTTCATCAATTTGGGCCGTTCAATTCTAAGTACACGCCGTGATCAGGTTCATTCAATGGAATCAACTCATGGGGCCACAAGCCAAGAACTTGAGCTCGAAGCCTTTCAGAAACATGTAGCTGAAAGGTTTCACGTTTTATCGTCTGTCCAATCCGATGAGCTTCTCTCACTTCCATGGATTAGCAAACTTCTTGATGCATTTCTATGTTGCCAAGAAGAATTCAGGGCCATAATGTTTAACAACGGGGAGTACTTGAATAGAGCCCCGATGGATCGATACACGTTGGACTTCTTTGAGAGGAGTGTGAAAGCTTTAGATGTTTGCAATGCAATTAGAGATGGGATTGAACAAGTCAGGCAATGGCAAAAGCAATTGGAGATTGTGTTGTGTGCATTAGGCAATCAGAGGAGTTTTGGAGAAGGACAATTTCGTCGTGCCAAGAAGGCGTTGATCGATTTGGCAATCGGACTGCTTGATGAGAAGGAGTCTAACACAACTCTTGCTCATAGAAATCGATCATTTGGGCGTAACAATGTGCATAAGGATAACAAATCCTTGGGGCATTTTAGATCATTGTCATGGAGTGTATCCAGGTCATGGTCAGCTAATAGGCAGCTCCAAGCTATTGGGAACAGCTTGATTGCTCCAAAAGCCAATGAAATTATGGCCACCAATGGACTTGTTGTTGCTTTTTATACAATGAGCTATGTGCTATTATTTGTAATGTGGGCTTTAGTTGCCGCAATCCCTTGTCAGGACCGTGGCCTCCAGACACATTTTAATGTGACTAGGCAGTTCAGTTGGGCAGTTCCTATTCTGTCACTCCACGAGAGGATTATGGAGGAATCGAAGAAGAGAAACCGTAGAAATTCTTGTGGATTGCTGAAGGAGATTCATGAGATTGAGAAATGCTCGCGTCTCATGAATGAACTGACTTATTCCGTTCAATTCCCCCTGACAGAGGATAAAGAGAGAGAAGTAAGGCGGAGAATGCAGGAGCTTGGACTAGTTTATGAAGCAATTAAGGATGGATTAGACCCGTTGGAGCGCCAAGTGAGGGAAGTGTTCCATAGGATTGTGCGCAGTAGAACCTTTGCATCTTGACGCTATGGGAAGAGTAGACACTCGCAACTAATACACTGTGCTGGTTCAATTGCTGGTTGGCAAAGAATGTAGAACTTGGGAATGCGTTCCAAATTTTGATTCCCTTAAAATAAAAGATTTAAGGAGGTAAAGTCTTGTATTTATCACAATATATCGTGTAAAGAAATTTGGATATGGATTGGACCTTTGCAGTCCATCATGCTGCTGCCCTGCTTGTGTTGCTACTGTATAATTAAATTTCTGAGTAAATTTGCTGCTTCTGTTCTTCATGCGGTAGCTGTTTTTGATTATGGTAGTGTTCATGTTCATTTTGTTTTCTAAGATCGATCGAAAACGTTGTTTTGGTTTTGTGTGAAATGTAAAATTGGAGGTATTCTTGGTCCACTGGCCTCTCTGGATGAAGCAATAGCAGCAAGAAGAAATGAAACAGAGCAGCACTTTAGTTTAATATATAGTCATTTCCCAATATCATGTTTAAGCTTTCCTTTCATGACTGTGGTTACTTTGATGTCCTTTCAATTAGTTTGCTGGAATTGCAAACCTGGTAACCATTCTACATAATTGATGCTTAAATGCAATAGAGCCGTTTCCTTCATATTAAGATGTGTAGGAAATTCAATAACCAGGGAACACTATTTTGAGCCATCTCTCTTCTTGTCGAATGGCCTTAGTGCGTGTATTGAGCTATAACGTATATCTTGTCTGTTTTCGAAATATATTTTTTCCCCTCGGAAAAAAAAAGGCGAATTATGTCCTGATCATTTTCCTTGTGGCTTTGAACATGGTCTGAGAGGATTTTTCAAATTGATTCTGAACTCTTCTTCTGAGTATTTAATCCTGATTTACTCTCTCTGAATTGCTTCCTCAACTTCATGTGACTGGGGGGATGATGTTAAATATTAATAATGCTCAAGGACTAGAATTCCTGTCTGCATTAATGAGAATTATTTTATAGTTCTTGGTCAAATTCCAACTTTCTTGTTGACCTGTACATTGGCTTATAACTTTATATGGTAACCATGAAATTAATTTTAATATAAGAAAGATCACATCAGATAAAGACTTGAGGAAAGCTCTGCTTATTTGCCTGCACGTTTTCTTTTCCTTCTTTTTGATTTTTTTGGGTACAGTGTATGAAGGTGTATTACATCAGAAGCATTCCAACATCCCCCCCAAGTTGGGTTATTGACTTGGCAGAATTATTGACCATTTCAAACTACATTGCATAGGATTCTTTTTGCAATCTAGTGTGCATTTGATTATGCCTAGAGATCCTGCCACCAAGTTAATTAATTGTTCCTCTCTCTCTCACACACACTTGATTTTTAATTTGGTAAATTTGTGCTCTACTAACTAGGCTTAACCTCGTTCGCCACTTTCACAAATACTTTGTTGCGTTAATAATACACATTGTACTTAAGATTATAATAGTGATTCACCGTCATTTATCAAAAATATTATTAATGGAGAGTCATTTGGAAGCAGTTGAAACAAAGAAAATACTCTTTGACTTGTAGTGATTTGGTAACTGTGTCAACTAGCTCTTAGCAATTAGCATGCTGTGAACATACATTTGGAAGTGTGAGTAATGGCATTTAGCTTGTGGCCTCAAATTTCAGCTACATGATTTTTAGAAAAACTTTGATTGTTATATAAAATGCATTTGTGCTTGAACTTGGATGCTGTTTTTGGCCATGTAAAGTAAAGCTCTTACCCTTTCATTAGACTTTCTCTGTCATCTCTGCTCTGTCTAGAAGATTTTTTAGCTCGCTAACAATTGGCTCGGACGCCAGAAATCACCATCCCATCCTTAAGGCAAACTTAGGTAGAAATCACCATCCCATCCTTGAGCAGGCACCAGCAGCACCATTGCTAAAGATGATTGGATCTCTCTCGTTGAAATCAATTATGGTTATTCTCTTTTTGTAATTACTGGCCCTCCTTGCAGCAACTTGCAAGTTGTTGAGGAATCTGAAGCTTCAATTTGGAGAAGTTTTTGTTGGTTGGAGTCAAAGTCCCATACATGCAAATGAATCACAAATTGCTATAATTTGGACAGCCTATGAACAACTCAGTAGCCAAATTACTTTGATACTTCTGGGAAAAAAAGTCATGTTAGAGGTTGGTTGTCTAGGCGTTAGTAATTTGTAATCAACAGATAGATGAGGCGACAGGGTTTAAATTTGACAAAATAGATGAAGTTTCCTGATCCTCCACAACTGGTGGGAAGAATCAAAAGAGCCCAACATGATTAACCCAAGATATACTTGAAGAATCACAGCCGAAGTTTAAGGTAGGAGCATAGATATTGGATCTGGTAGATACCCCTAGCATAGGTAGAACCAGGATTCCACAATCCGAAACTATGTCACTTTATGATATAGATCGCTCAAAGTCCCGACCCATATTATAATTCAAACCAAAAATTAACTCATGATCTAAGTAATTTCACATTTGAATCTTAATCCCAGATCTTAGCACTAACTTGTCATTTCGTTATTTTGTTATTCTTTAAACTCATATTTCGATCTTGACCCAAAAAAAAACCTTATATTTTGATTATGCGGAAATATAAAATAAATACTTGTTAATTTTGTGTATGTGAATGTGTTATTCTACACAAAGGTACAAAATGAACTACAACCCAAAATTAGTATTGACTAAGCCTACTATCACATATTGCATTGCGTAAACTCATATCTATATCACATACTAAATAAACCCACGATTCAATAGGAATCATTGAGTGAGAGTAGGCGCAACTCTCAAAACGACGAAACCTACTCCCGAAATAAGGCATTTTGGTGGATGTAATGCACCATTCCCCTGGTCACAGTGGTTCGTTATTCAGAAATTATTCGAGAATGTAGCTATCGGAGCTGAAAACTCTAAAAACACTAATTAACTTCTCAGCTTCAAACCCAAAATTAAAAGATAAAAATGTTAATTACCTTGTTTTTGCTTATGNGAATGTAGCTATCGGAGCTGAAAACTCTAAAAACACTAATTAACTTCTCAGCTTCAAACCCAAAATTAAAAGATAAAAATGTTAATTACCTTGTTTTTGCTTATGAACAAGCGATCTAAATCTCCTAAAATACACATTTTCTCAATTTACGTCAATGTCAGATCACCCTTGGTGGACGAGTGGAATTCTAGATAGTGGGTCCTACATATTAAGATGAGATAACTTTTGTGAAAACCTATATTATTCAATAGCAATAATTCGTGCACGAAGACAGTGTAATATAAAANAGATAGTGGGTCCTACATATTAAGATGAGATAACTTTTGTGAAAACCTATATTATTCAATAGCAATAATTCGTGCACGAAGACAGTGTAATATAAACTTTGACCGTTTAAAAAATCAATTTCACTATATCAAATAATAATTTCTTTTCTTCCCGTTCTTTAATTACATAACTTGACATTAATTCCTATCCATCTATAATATAAAATAGGGGGGTAGACTTCAATAAACCAATCCAACGGTCTCAAACCAACAATCACCAACATCCCTTTCAAAATTATTCACATTAAATTTTTTACTCCCAAATGCATCACTTCTCACTTACCGTGCTTGAAGGCACGAGTTTACCCCTAGTTATTTTTTAAAACAAAAATCGACAAGATCTTCTCAAAATACATGATCTCAAAAAAATATCACATATTTATATAATAACACATATGAACAATATTCGAAATAAAAATTATATTGAGTCACAAATTAATTAAAATTTACATAATTTCACTTGTGATAGAAATGGGTGAGAAAAAATATGTAGGGATAAAATTACAATGTCTACCTCCCTTATTATATACATTTACTTGATTCCAGCTGTTAGGTGCATTTTACATTTGGAATCACGGGGGAATAGCTTCCCGCCAAGGCAAATATTGTCACAAGAAACAAGTAACCGATTTTTAACTGTCATAACCGCCTCCAACAAAACCATATCAGGAAGCAATGCATTTGTACTTTTCTCTGGAATTTAGGCATACAAACACACATTCCACCATTCTCTCTCTTTTCCAACTCATTTGATCAAAAATCAGATAAAAAAGACTCACCAAAATGGAACTTGAATTGGGACTCAAGCTCACCAGAGAATTAAATGATTTTGCCGCGGCTGATCTTCTAATCGCCAAGGATCGAGATGGTCCTCTTTTCTTGTCTGGAGAAACAGAAACCATGTTTATCCTCACTGCTCATCTCAAAGGTTTTCTCTCTCTTTTCTCCTATCTGTTTGTGTGTATGTGCTACAATTCGATTCTTTTTCTTTTTTTTGGGGTTGCTGTATTACCATTTGATTTGGTGAAAAACTGAACAAATCCAGGTTACAAGAGAGAGAATATAAAGATTGACATCATTGAGGGTGGGACTATAATTACAATAGGGGGTGAAAAGCTGGTCCCGGAGATGGTGGTGGTGGGAGGAAAAGTGCTAAAGAAAGAGGAGGTGATGAGGGGATTCAGAAAGGCTTTCACAATTCCTGGTGTAGTGATTTTGGACAAAATCAAGGCGAATTTAAATGAGGATGAATTGCTTTTGACAATTACAATGCCAAAATCAGTTAAAGGTGTTACCAGGATTCAGATTGTAGAGGTGAAGGAAGATATGCTAGCTTGGGGGTTTTCGGGATCACTGGATTTTATAGGTGACAAGGTCACCGAGAAAGAGAAAATGAAGCAAGATGAATATGGAGAACCTGAGATTGTTGATGTTAAACAAACTGATCAAGCTAAGCAAAAATTGCCAGAAGAATATGAACGACGAGAGGGGTATGAAAATTTGAGTCCTGGGAAAGAAGAACCCGCTGGTTCAAAGGTGATGCACCAAGAAGAAACTCAAGGAGAAGAGGCTAATAATTCGAAAGAACGGGCAAAGAAAAAAAAGGAAGTGGAGAGTCAGCTGCGAGGAAAAGAATTAGAGGAAGAGAAAACAAGTCAAGGTGTTCGAGCACCAGAGGAATTCAAAGGTGATCAACAACTTCATCAAGCTGAAGATCAAGATCAGCATAAAGAAAATAAAATCGTTCGCGGGAAAGAAATTGATGGAAGAGAAAATGATACTCATGAAGAAGTAAATGGGGCAAAAAAGACAGAAGAAGGTGAATCTTCGAGGGCGGAGAAGGAATACCCCCGTGATCAATCAACTCAAACAGGGGAGACACCTACAAAGAGGTTCAAGATCTGTGCTCCTATGTTTGCAGGATCGGCATTGCTGGTCTCTCTTATAGTGTTTGTAATTCATGTTTTTAGAGATAAAAGCCAACAAAGCAAAAAACAGTAGGACTCAAATATGATGAACAAGTTGAACTTTTTAATGGCTTATTCTCTTGTATGTCAATAAAATAGCTTGTTGTCTTTGGTATCACTGATTAATTTACAGTGCAGGAGATTGAATAGCAGGGGATGGCTTTTGTCAAAACTTTACCTCCTTATTCATCGTTGGAACGTAATAAAACCCTCCTCCAAAACTATTCCTTGTAAGAATTAAGATGACCCTATACCCAAAAAACACCTCCTTCCTTCTCACTCTATCTTTGTTACACCCCTTCCGACGACCAATCCCCATCAAAAGTGAAAAGCCCCTCCCCAGCAGCAACCCCTTCCTTGGTAGTAGAACACCCAAACCTGACCCCCCCCCCCCCCCAAAAAAAAAAAAAAAAACAGACCATGCAGCCCCCCAACTCCCTGGCATAGCATGCCATGCCACCTTGTATGTTCTTTCTCTCTGTTATTATTGTTGCACTGATCTACCTGGTCCAAAATGGTATTGGAATTGCAAAAGGTCAGCTAGTAAAAAAGGTATTGTGTTGCCATGCAGAAGCTGCATAAAAAGTAGAACTTAATTCATGTGTCTTTTGATTATGAAGTATGGGGTTTGAACTAACTATGCAAAGATTAGGTGCCCTCACACTTGAAACTGAACAAAATGATTGGATTTTGATCACTTTAACAAACTTTAACCAGTTTCTACTCACTCTCTTAGTTGACAGGGCAAAGGCAAAGTCTGTTTACCTCTCTAGCAACCATAGGTGGGGCTTGCTCTAATTACAACCCTAAGCCCTTCATGATTGACAAGGACTCTTTTTGCACCCCCCACTATGTGCTTATCAGTTTCAACTCATCCATTTGCATAGTTTGTTTGGCCATTACATCACAATTTGTATATTTAATTGGGTTTGAAACTGGATTTTTTTTTTTTAATATGAATCAAGATAAGTCCCAATGACTCAGAAGTAATCATGCAGAAACCATTCAAGTATAGGCATCTATATAATGGAAACATGAATCACTTGAAAATAAAGTACGATGGCGGTTCAAATTGATTGAACTGTCGATTATCTTTTGATTTACATTCTACTTTTTAACTACAGTAAATCTATCTATTTATATTATAATATTCTAAACACGGAAAGTTTATGCATTTATATATCAACCCCCTCTTACATTTTAGTCAGAAAAAGTACAGATTAGCATAACTACTCACATCTATTTGGGACGTTAAAATTCACATGATAGTTGTATGATGAATTTCACAATGAGACAGCTTGGGACTTCTTAATCCCATTGAGAAAGAGAACACCACCCCAGCAAAGGAAAGGTAAAAAGAGGCACATAAAAAAGAAAAAGGGTTGTTTGATTGCTTGGCAAAACTAAAAAGAAAAAGAGTAAAAGAACAAAGGGCTAATGATTCCAAAGTAGGGTCAAATATTGCATAATACCTTACATAATCGCCACCTTAAAGCTACATTAGATACAAAGCTACAGTTCCCGGCACACGTACCCCTACCACATATCTCTTTACATAAGTTGCAAAACTCTCTGTCTCTCTCTCTCTCTCTTCCTTCATAGCAACGCCAGGAAAACCACACAACATAAAGCTCTATGAACTGTAACCAACCCCACCACCTGCAATCACACCCAAAAAAATTATTGAGAATCCAATCAAAGACACCATCATTAGCCTCCTAAGACCCACCATAAATATGCATATAATCATGCAAACATACTTATATACACATTGCTTTACATGTTTATAGATCTATGACAGTGTCACCATCGCACAATTAAATGGAGACGTGATAAATAGTATATAACATTTGAATAGTTTTGTGATTTATCCCTTCCGGGTAAGACTACAGTACCACTACTGAAAATTAGAATTTTTAGTGGGCTAAGCTATAACTTTTAAGAGAGTATGTTTCAAATCAAACGTTAGAATCAATTCTAACATTTTAGGATTAATGTTTAATTTGACTGTCAAAAATTGTTATTTGCAATGCAGTATTAAAAAAAAAAAAACACTTTCAATAGCGTAGATTAAGCAAAAATGGAAGTAAAATGTCCATGAGTACCTGTTCTTCATGACCAGAAGTGGGCAAAGGGCGAATTGTAGTCGAGTCCACTTCACCAGTTGGTAGAGGAACCGCTGGATTACTGTCGATAAATGGTATACTATCACCTTTGTCTGGAACCATAGGACTCATAGCTGGAAGGATTGCACTTGGTGCAGGACTTGGTGAAGTCAATTCTCGGGATCTGAAAGGCCAAGGGTATGCCGGAGAAGACGATACAGAACCACCGGAACTCACTGGTGGAGCTGCCATTGGTGGTAGTTCTGGTGAGGCAGCAGAATTCTCTGGGGGTGATGACAACGACACCTTCACAGAGAATTTATGGCCTTCTTGACATGGTTTAGCAGAGCCATTGTAGAAGGAAAAGTAGAAGAAACCAGGGCGTGATGGGTTCCACTTCATGTCATAAGAAAATAGTCAGAAACGAAGTTTCAGCCATTTCTAAAGTACCCAGATGAACAATGCATATAGGTAAATAATCAATACACACAACCAATTGAAAGTAAAAGAACATGGTCCAAACTATAAGATTTAATTAATACCATTTCTGAATTATCCCGAGAAGAATATGTCCAAAAGCACAGATCTTTAGTAATTTCTCAAGTACCCATAAGAAAATTCAAAGATCAAGACAAAATTTTGTAGCAAATTTTCAAGTAATTAAAGGAAAGTTACACACACACACAAATTTAACCATTGTTCAAGAACACAAAAGCAAGTCACACACACAGAGGAAGAGAGAGAGAGTGACTACCGTAAAAGAAGTAGAATTTGGTTTGCTGAGTAGTGTAGCCTGGGTGAAGTTGCAGAGATTGAAGGTATTTTTGTGCTGGAAAATGTAAAGATTGTAGTGATACTTGTGCTGGAAAACTGAAAAGAGAGAGAGATTCAAAACAGCGGGTATGTTAGCTAATAATGGCCTCAAAAATAAGCAAAGGAATCAACCATTATGGGGAGAATATTTTATACTTACTGACAGAGTCCCCTACTTGGACAATGGGGTTTCTCCATGCTGAAACTCCATCTACTACAAGTGTTGCAGAGTGAGAAAACTGGAAGAGTAAAGTAACAAGGCAGGCAAGGGAGACAAGCATGAGGAAGACTTCCATGAAACTGCTGTGTTCTGTGTTAGCCAGAGAAGAAGATTATTTAGACACCTAGAGGGGCTCAAGAGCTTTGTGGCTTTTCACTGCTTATGATAGGAGAGAGAGAACTAAAGATTGTCAGGCTTGTTTGGCTTTTCACGGGAAGAGTTTGAATGGACGACAGAAATGGACCATGTGGTATTGGAGGATGTGTATTTATTTCTAAGGGAAAATTTCACTAATTCCTCTCTTAGTTTACTATATCTTCAAGAATGTTTCCTCTATTATCAAAAATATCATAGACACCTCTTCTAGTTTAATTTAAACGTCACTAACACCTCTACCATTAAACTACCATTTCTAACCAAAAAAAATCATCTAAAATATCAAAAATGCCCCTACATAAACCTCAAATAATTTTTCTACATAAAATTTTATTAAAATTCGAGCTGTTAAAATTTTAAAAAAAAATCGTAAATAATTTGTTAGTATATACTAATTTATTATTTACTAATTCATAAATTTTTTAAAAAAATTCAAGCCTAATAAAATTTGAGCCGATTTGAACTCTATCTGAGTTGTTAGCGCGGCAGCGCTGATTAAAATTCTCTTTCGATTCGATTAAAATTTATATTTTTTTACTTATTAAAATTCGTGTCAATTAAAATTAGATTTATTAAAATTTGAGTCAATTAAAATTTATATTTTTTTATATATTAAAATTTGTGCTGATTAAAATTCAATACGAATTGATTAAAATTTAATTTGAGTAGATTAAAAATAATTTTTAATTGGCTCAAATAAAATTTTATTTAGCCCAAATTTTAATAAGTAAAAAAATATAATTTTTAATTGGCTCAAATTTTAATATGTAAAAAAATAAATTTTAATTATCTTAAATTTAATTTTAATCGGCTCAAATTTTAATACGTAAAAAAAATAGAAAACAGAAGGGGTCTCATTGAAGATATACTTATTTAAAGAAGGTGTGAATAAAATTTGTCCTCAAATATATTATGATCAATTTAGTAAAATTACATTCTAGTTAATATTTTTAATCTAATTGGGGTGTCATTGAAGATTTAAAAAATAGAGAGAATGTCTTTAAAGATATGGTAATCTTAAAAAGGGGTAGTTGAAATTTTTCCTATTTCTAATCTTTACGGGAAAAGGTGGAATGATTTTGCTCCTGATTTCTTTATTTTTAAAAGAGAATGGTATACGAGAGATAAGAGTGTTGATGAATTTTGGGTGGCTGTGATGAGTGGTGACGAGGATTATTATTCTAAAATGATTAGTAATGTGATTATCAAACTGGGACTTCTAATTTGGTGATTATGACATATTTTTGGGTATGTTGGGGAATCCAATTTGGATATATATATTTAAGCAAAAATCCGACAACTACAGTTTATTTGAATTTTATGCATGCATATGAGTAAAACTCAAACTCAGGACTTTTAGACTTGCATCTTAATTTTTATTCAACCACCCGACCACAAGAAACCAAAATCAGATTAGATTGGGATCATTGTAGCATTTGGGATCCCAAAAGGAAAATATGAAATCTTCAATGAAAAACCTGAGTGAGAATCGTGGAAAATGGGTGGGCAAGGCAAGGCGGTACAAGACAAGGCTCCGTTCGAAGTACACAGGAGACAGCAACAGAATACCAGTGACCAGTGTGACCACCCCTAAAGTTGTACCGTTGGAGGTGGGCCAACTCCGACCACCAAAAGGAGAGAAAGCATACACAAAATGAATTACAAGACGAGAACAGTTTGGTCAGAGAGGATTTCGAAATGTCCTACAGTAACCAATGTAATACAATTTTTCGTATTTCTAGTACAAATTGAAAGTGTCCGTACTTTTGAGGATCGTAGCAGAAGCAACTCTAAAGTCAATCCAAATACGCCATATTTGCAGAGGAAGCCAACACACACAAAGTTGGGAGGGGAAGAAAATCTTGGACGGCGTGGTGGAAGGCTGTGGCTCTTTTTCTTTGTGAATTGAGGCATTCTTGAGGATAAAAACAGAAGCATAAAACAGACTAATAAATCTAGTGCACGGGCCAAGGGAGAAGATGACAGCTTCAATGATTAATTCCAAGCTCTTATTAAGAAAAACAAATTTTCTGCAGGAATATACAAAAAGCAAGACCACCAGGCATGCTTGTTTTTGATTTGAGAGTGGTACAAGTAAATGGATAAGCAAAAAAATAGTTCAAATTTTTTTTTATACTGCGTATGTTATGTCTTTATTAGCCCGGTTATAGCACTTGAAATTAAAACCACTCCAGGTGTTACGGTGTAAATAAACCCATATTATTGAGTATTACACTTGACATGGTATTAAAATGAGCTAGAAAACTAAAGCATTGTATCAGATTATTAAATTACAGTATTGACCCTTCTAATGTGCAATGTTCATAATGAAGACAAGGGCATTAATGTCGATTGATATAAAATAAAATATTTACTAGTGTCTATAATCTAAACCAGAGAGAAGGTATTTAAGACAATTATAAAATATAATTATTACTTTTATGTGGGATCCACATGTATTAAAAATCAAAGGAAGGATTATATCCAAACTCTTTAAGGTTTGTCACTTAATCACTCAGATCTCCTAACATTTAAAATATTACACATAGTTCTCTGAGATTTGTACGTGCGTAATACTTAAACCCTTGTCATCAAATGTTCGTATATCCGTTAGTAAATTACACTTAAACTCCTTGAAGTTTGTTGATGCATAATACTTAGGTCTCTCAACTTTAAAATGTTATATTTAGACAAAAAAATACTTCAATCAAAGATAGAATATCAAATATTTTAAATTTTATAATCAAAATTTATGTTCTATTGTATTATTTGTTGAAATAAATTCAAAAATAAAAAGCAAAATTTTACTTAAAAATCGTAATTAGTATATAATTATACTATTTATTGAAATAAAACTAAAAGATCAAACAAGAGGTCTAAGTCATTTATGATAGAACATGAATTTTACAACCAAAATTCATATTCTATTATGTTATTTATTGAAGTAAAATCAAAAATAAAAAGAATATTTTTTTCTTTTTTTTGGTCAAATACAATAATTTTTTCTTAAAAAATTATAATTTGCATACCATTATATTATCTATTAGAATAAAACTAAAAAATCAATAAAGGGTCAAACTGTAATGGACACAATATATTATAGTTTTAATAGGGGTAATTTGATAGTTTAATTTAGCTGTTTAAACGACCAACTTAAATTCCAATGATAGTATATTATATACTAATAATAATTTTTTAGGAAAAAATTATGTTTTATTTTTAATTTTATTTCAATAAATTTCATAATAGAACTTGAATTTTGGCTGTAAAATTTAAAATACTTGATATTCTATCTTTGATTGAAGTATTTTTTGTACAAATATAACATTTTAAATTTGAGGGGTTTAAGTATTACACGCCTACAATTTTCAAGGGATTTGAATGTAATTTATTAATAAATATATTAATGGGCATTGAAGGCAGAGATCTAAGTATTATGCACATACAAATTTTAAGGAGTCTGTATGTAATATTTTAAATATTTTTAAGGGGTTTATATGTAATATTTTAAATGTTAGAGAATCTGAGTGATTAAATGACAAATCTCATAAAATCTAAATATAATTTGCTTAAAATCAAAAGACAAACATGATAAATGATTGAAAAAAATATTAAATTATGTCTTTAATACCCATAAGCTTAAAGGTATTGAAAATAAGACTCCAACCCATCCTTCTCCTCAAAACAAACATGTCAACTGTATAGCTATGGCTTAGTGGCCAACCTATATCTATATCTATGTGTATACTACTAATAAAAGTACGCTATTAAGAAAATTTTTTGATTGATTACTTTAACCCTAAAACAATATATAAAGACAATACTAGTCTTATTTAATTTAGAACTCATATGAATAAGACTAGATTAATGTTAAATTTTTAATTGGACAACTTGACTCTCACAATACTAACATTATTAATCTGAAATTTATATTAATAAAACTTCATTAATATTACACATATTCAAATCTTTCATATTCTTTCTTTTAAGAGATAAAAATGAATTGTTAAAATAATTAAATTTACTATTATTTATTTTTATCTATTTTCATTAATTGATGACAAGTTTCTGAATTTTCAAATGATATTGCATAAATACACTAGAGTCTTATTTAATATAAGATTTATTTCAATATAATTTGGATAATATTAGCAAACCCTTACTTTTCATTTTCTTATCTTTTATGTTTTAGTTTTAATAAATCATCTTTAGTTATGTTTATTGGTAATACTAGAAGCTATTTTATTTGTACCGATTAGCAATGCTACAATATATGTTCAATATTACATTAAATTACTTATAACAACTTTAACTTTTTAAATTTGATCAATCAATTGTTTATAATTAAATGACCACCATAACTTAAAATAGTTCGCTTCTGTATTTTTCATAATTTAATAAGTGTTTGTGATATATTTTAGTTACATATACCCACATACTATAAAATATATTTACTATGATGTTGCAAATAAAACTAATCTAAATAATTAACTTTATGTGAAAAATTATAAACTTTAAGGGTAGAGATTACAATAAGGTAATTCATCAAACTTAAGAGAAAATAAAACAATAAAAACTAATATTCGTTCGTTCTGCAATGATGTAGTGTTATCGCCATAACAAATTATACAAATTATATAATAGAAATATTCAAAAGATTAGATTTATAAGTAGGTATTTGCTATTATATTTATTTAATTATTTCAAAAATAAAATCATAACTCAAAAAGTCCATGTGCAAAGCACATGTACATGACCTAGTATTTTCAAAAAAAAAAAACAATTGGAATACTTATAAAGCATGTGAGGAAAATCTCAAAAACACGGAAACCCAAAAGCTATTTGGTTTGCATCTTAAAAAAACACTATTTGTTTGAATAATAATTCATAATCCCACCTCTTTTCAACTCTGTCTCTCTCTCTCTCTCTTTCACTGTGCATCAAGACCATCCCCGACTCACAACCACCACTCAAACCCCACAATCACCTTTGAAACCCACAACCACCACCCAAACCCACAATCACCACCCAAAACCCACAA